CTGGAACCTGTTATTCCTTGGTTGTCGTGTGTTGCAGTATATCATCTTTGTTTGTCTTTAATACTTTTGTACATAAATAAGTCCTTTAGTTTTTCGTTTGGATTGTTTAACAGTTGTCATGTCGTTATAGCTAAATATGCGGTTTGGGCTTTGCTTATTGATGAAGGACGTAGGGTAAGTCATAGTTGCATGATTTCTGATGAAAAGTTGTTTCATTGGCAATCATACCACACCTCTTTATTCTTTTAAAAAATACTAGAACACACTCGCGACATGGCGGGTCCGTGACTGAATTAAAGTACATATGCCTTATTTTTAGCCTGGATTTTAGGTATTCGTATTGTCATCTGATTGTAAGGTGCATAGATGTCTCTGATTTCAAAATCTTTCTGTTTGAATCCGTCCAGGTTTTCTGACTACAATAAACTTACTTAATTTTTCAACTAATCAACCAAAATTAATAGTGGTATTGAAATGGAAGAAAACAGACTTGCTAAATAGTGTACTATAGTGTAACATAGATATAAAACATCCACTGGAAAAATTCCAGGTTCTCCTGATAGAGGAGGGATTTACAGAAAGTAACAATTAACTATAACCGGACACTACATCTGACATATACTTTAGGTATCGGTATCGCGTTCGACCCCCGGATATTGTTAATTATTGGTAATATTAATTATGTTATTTAAAATACAAAATGGCATGAAATCGTGTAATTTTTAAATAACACCATTGTCCTATATTAGTTATATATGTACAGATGTAACAGATCCGTCGCGTTCATTGGAGCAACGCGTTGCAACTATTGCACGTTTGAAAATGTTTACGCTTAATCGAAATAAACGACATCCCTTACATTTGTAATGAACTCGACTGTCCGAAGTTATCAAGAATCAATGCTACTAAAATAACGAGGTCCAATTTGTTTAGCCGGCATGACGTAAAAACGACGTTTCAAAAATTCAACTTTATGTTACGCGTTGCTCTAGTTTACGTGAACTAACTGTTATGCATTGCTCTAGGTATATTACTCTGTAAATTCAAATGCTAAAAAAAAATGTTTTGTGTACGCCTTATCATTGAACAGAAAATCTTGGGACAGGATAAAATAGTAATATAAGTGACTGACTTATATCTACACAACGATGATATTTAAATGTGATGTTATATTACAATAATATAGACCATAGTTATACTAGACGAACATATGTTTTTTGTTCTTACTAATAATTCTTCAATTATCAGATAGGTATATCATGTTACACAGACACATTATTTTGAAACCAAGTTTACAAGTTTCTCTTTGTATTTTCAAAGCAAGTAAGAGTTGTAGTTAGTGTTTAGTTTAGTACATGTACTTTCTGAAATCGAACCCCCAACTCCTTGTTTTCAGGAAGAACATTCTTCAATGAGACAACCTATGAGACTGGTGAAAATGTGATTATGTGTTCATGTGTTCAGTTCAGTTCAAAATTTAGTTTCAAGGACTTAATAAAATAAACAAATTGATCATTATTAAATTGAAATGAATCCAAATGAATAGGTATACAAAGAGATACATCAGATTATGATCGTATGTATGATATTTTTTGTTTTATACACGTAGGAAGAAAAAGCATTTCATACCGAAGAAAATACGAAAAGAACTTTAAAACCCATTCATAAACAAGCTGTGTGCTTATCTTGGAAGCAAAGATGTCTGTTAGCTGTATTGCTGGTAGGAAGTGCAATTGCAATGGCTTTTGGAACTACCATCTATATTTTGGTAAACGAAGACTCGCAGAAAGGTTTGTTTTCAGAGTTCACAAGATTTTATTAAAAGCAGAATGCTTTATTTAACAAAAATCTAGGTCTGTGTTCTTGCGGTACATTGATAACAATATAGTACCTTTTATTGTATAAAAAGAGCTTCTTAATTACAAAACATATTTCACATAATTTAAAAAATTAAAATGAGTTAAGCAATTAAGGTCAGGTCACGTCACGGACTTTTGCTAGATTTTGCATATAACTGAAGTATGTATAGCGCATAACTATACAAATCCTTGAGTATGTTAAACTAAACATTTAAAAAGAAAGAACAAATATCTTTAATTTTCATATCACTTTCTGAATTCTTTCATTACAAATGTACGTTTGCACAGAAAGCACATATAATCGTTATAACAACTTTCCGAAAATTGCTTTTCATGTAATCATCAAATCTAAAAAAAACCAAAAACAATATAATTTTATGTTAATACATATATTTTTCTTGAATATCAAAACACACTCGACCTCGATTTTATTTATAAACTAATATGTTACCATGTTCATAGTGAAAACCGTCGAATAACTACAAGACAACTTTACGCTTTTTACAACGTTTCTTGAGTATTTTTCAACCAAGGAACACCACTTTGACTGGTGTATACCCAAAATGCGATGTCGCCAACGATTGTTAAGAAACATCTATGGACTTGGTTTAAAGATCAATTTGAGAGAGTTTTGATAGATGTTATGTACATTCTATACAAATGTTGGTTAATATAAGAATTTTAAGATAATCATATTTTAGCAAGTATAACAGTTGCATGTACATGAATTATTTTGTTCTTTTTTTCAGTTACAGGTCAGCAAAAAAAAAAATTATTTGCAAAATTTCAACAACATCTTTGACATGACCAATTTACTGCTTTTTAGAACTTAACGGTCTCATTTAGTCCGTGACATGTATATTAAGATTCATTATAAAAGTTATTCTTGGCTTCTTTTATTTTTAGTTGTTTGTTGTTTTTAAAATTTTAAGGTTCAAAAGATCAAAGATAAATTTAATATTTTCTGTATTGTATTATGCGTTAAAAGAATCAGAGATTTTAATTAGAAATAGGACAGCAGGATAATGGAAAGCTTTAAATCATGTAGAAAAAGCATTACGCGAAAAAGTTGGACAGACCAGTTAAGTTTCTTAAAGGATATTGTGAGCGCTTTAGAGGAGAACAATGTATCAAGAGAAACACAGATCAATGGTAAACTCTCTCTCTCGTTCTCTCTATCTGTTGATACCTTCTCACTTTTAATTGTTTAATTTTTTTTCTTATATAATATCATATTTTTTTTATCATTTTTATTGTTGTTGTTTTTTGTTAACAGAATCATTTGCAACAACGACATCAATTACAGCGACAAGAGAAGAAACGAATTTATCATCATCGTCAGACCAAATAACTGCATTTATTGTACCATCAACTAAAATGCTGGAGACTGTTTCATCAGTACCTGTTACATCATTAGATATAACAGCTGTAGCAGAAGAAACACAATCGAATGGTAAATTCTCTCTCTCCCTCTTTCTTATTTTCTCTTTTTCTCTCTCTCTCTTTCTTGTTAGATTTGAAAATGAGTGAGCAAATGAATATTAATTGATGTATATATATATATGGGTTTAAGAACATTTGTTGTTTGACCTGTTAGTCAAATTCGTTTTGTTAAAATATACCTTTTCACTTTTTTGGTCTTTTGGAAAATGTTGTTTGTGCTGTATTTAGACCCCTCTAAAAAGAAATTTGTTTTGCATGCACACGTATAAAAATTGCGGTTTTTATCCAACGCAATCATAGGTTTGAACGTTGTTTTCAATTTAGACTTGTGTATATATATATATATATATATATATATTGTAACTTTAACACCCTTATTAACTTATAAAAATAGTTGTTATATGTTTTATATATACATTAACAAATAGTAGTATGAACATATCATACTTCGTACTTACAACTGGGAGCAGAATAAAAAAGGAAAAAACCAATTTTCCTCTTTTTTCCCTCTATTTTCTGACAAGTGCAATTAGGGGCTAAATTTGGACCAGAATGTAATAAATTTATTCTATAACCCATGTATTTGAGTAAAAAAGATGAAAAACGAAGACAATTCTTTTATATAAGTATTTATTTGTTACATTTCAAAATAAATTTATACTGAATTCTACACTTAGCTGTACATTTTCAGTCAACTCTCTGTAAAGGATGCAACATAGAATAAATTTATTCTAAATGCATGGTGCTTTTCTGTATTTATGATAATTTATAAAATAAATTTATTTTATAGAGCCTTAATACCTATTATTAGTTCTAGAAATTTTTAAAACAGAATAAGTTTATTCTACATTCAATGTGACGCATGACTATAATAATATATAAAATAAATTTACATGTATTTTGAAAGGAAAGTTATCTGTATGGTGAGGCTGAGATACAGAATAAATTTATTCTACATTCAATGTGATTTATGATTATAATAATATATAAAATAAATTTATTTTGAAAGTCCAGTATTCTATATGGTGAGGCTGAGACACAGAATAAATTTATTCTACACTCTAAGTGATTTAAAATTTATGATTATAATGATATATAAAATAAATTTATTTCGAAAGTAAAGTTATCTGTATGGTGAGGTTAATACACAGAATAAATTTATTCTACATTCAATGTGATTTTTGTTTAATATAATAATATATAAAATAAATTTATTATGAAAGTACAGTAATCTGCATGGTGAGGCTGAGACACAGAATAAATTTATTCTACACTCTAAGTGATTTAAAATTTATGAATATAAAAATATATAAAATAAATTTATTATGAAAGTACAGTAATTACGTTAAGGTTGAGACAAAGAATAAATTTATTCTACACTCACACTATTTCTGGTTATAAAAATATATAAAATGTCTTCAGGTAAAAATACACTGATCTGTAGGACTGTCTACTACATACAATAAATTTATTTTATGTCAGCAGTGCTTTTGATAATATTCAATATGTTCACGTGATACATTTTTTCCATATACAATTCTATCTTTCATGTCTATTTACATGTAACATTCATAAAAATGTATTTTATTTGGAGTTGGGATGTGAATGTTTTTAAAACCTAACTTAAGACAAAATATATTTACTGCTATCAACAATGCAAAAGGACACTTCTATAAAATATGGAAATAATAATTTCAGCATATTTTGTTATGTGGGACTGAATAGCAAGATGAAAGAAATACAGCAATTTTAAAAAACAAAATATCAACATATAAATGTAAAATAAACAGTTTAAAAATAGTAAAAGTTCAACAAGTTCTACTAAAACTGAAAAAAATCTGCTTTTTTAGATACATGTCTCCATAGATGAACGTGCTAAAAATTGTCCCTTTTCTTGTTTCTGGATTGGCCTGATCTGAAAGAAATAACGATAAATTTTCAACAATTTCAAATATGAAAAAAAAATGTTTTCCTTTTGAGTATACGATATAAATAAATATATCGAAATAGCTATTTTGTTAATATTTTTAGTTATCATACCAAAATTTATAATCTATGATGAGGAAACTGTCAAAAAACTTTCTGTCTTTTTTTTATCTTAATTATGATGTCTATTTTGTTTATTTTATTATTCACTCTCTTTATTGTAGTTTATAGTCTTGCCTCTGGATACAGCAAGATAATATTCTTAGTATTGGCTGATAAGATGATTTTATAATTGCTAGAGAGAGAACTAATTGAAGCTGTATATATATATATATGCGTTATCCCCCCTTTTTTGATTTCATTTGTCCTGAGCAATCAGATACCCTCTAATGTCCAACCCTGGTAGTGGGGCATTATTGTTTTTAGTCTTTGCATCCGTTTGTTCATCCAGCAACCCCATATGAGCTTAATATATTGATTGTTATATGTAATAAACCCCTTGCAGTCAAATCCTTATGTACATTAATTAAAAGTAATGTTAAGGTCAGGGAACAGTAAATGGGTATGATAATACCTTTATCTCTTTTATTTTCAGAAATATAACTGATTGAATTCTTTCAAAATAATTGAACATTTGTATAGGTAGCACATTAAAATCGTCGAAAAACGTTCATAAATGTGTCTTAAAATTTTCAATTATGTTATGTATAATATGTTTGAATGTTGCAAAAGTTGATCCAAAAAAAATTTAAACTAAAGTTTAACAGACAGAGACAAAAAGGCAAAACAAACAATTTGCAATGTTGTTTTAATACACAATAAATCTGAAATATTTTTTTTACTAATCACACTTTTACAATTTAAAAGTAAAAAATATATCAAATTAAAACCTCATTCTTACATACCTATCTTCATCTGCAGAGACACTGTATGGGGTCAGGACTGAATGACAATCTAGTCTTTTTTGCTGGTGTTTCAAAACAATTTTCTCACTCTACAAGAAATATTTGAAGTTTAATGCAGGATCAATTAATCTGTTATTGTTTTTAAGAATAAAGAACAAGCATATTCCTTTATTATTATCAGTATTGGCATGTATCATTCCCAACTTCCTGAATATGCATGAAATATTTGCCATTGGACATTAAGCCAGTCATAACCAATCAATCAATCAATCATCGAGTCTTAAAATAGATGAATGGTATATGTCATGGTGACAGCGAACTGAAGACACAAATAACAAAAACAGGTTTAATAAAGTCTTAAACACATGACTGGTGTTAAAAATACGTTTACTTACCCCATTTATCATATCAGAAAACAAGTAAGACATGTTTCCAAAGGAACAGCAGCTTCTTCAGGCAAACATGTGAGTAATGTACCAAACACATTTTCCCCCTTCAACAAAATCTTCATTTTTCTCTCAAAATGTTAAGGATGCTCCTTAAGCACTCTGAAACAAAAATATATTGAAATTTAGGTACATGTACTTTAATCAACACTTTAAACATTTTATAACCAAAGTAAGAGTGCACATGTCTCGCCTTTGATTTACTTATCATTGAATTCATGTTGAAAGTCTGTAATATGGAGGATTTACTACAATTATCACATAAACTTAACATTATCAATGAACCAACTATAGTTGTCATATTGCTTATAGAACATGAGAAACAGATCTAACCACAAAATCTAAACATTGATCAATGAACCTTTAAAATGAGGTCAAGGTCATGTAAACACCGACCAACAGACAGGCACCTCACAATTGTTCCATACACTACATATAATTGACCTATTGCTTATAATGCTCGAGAAATTGTTCCAACCACACAACTAAAAACTGTCAAATAAACTATGAAAATGAGGTCGAAGTCAATTAAAACCTGCCAGACGGACAAAATAAAATAATTTTCATATAAAACTCTGAAGATAGAGATACCTTTCTAAGAACATTTATTCTTCCATTAACAAAGATTGTGAAATTTAATGTTTTAAAAAAAGTTTACTTACCCCCCCCCCTCTTTTTTTTTTGATTGGAAAATAAATTAAGTTTAATCCTAAAATTGACAAACTTATTTTTATGGAATAACACCCCTATGCCTTTGAAAAAAAACTGGATCCGCCCCTGAAGATAAGAGTTCATTTGAACAGTGCAGTATATCTGAGGTAGTTAATGCACACCTTTACTGTGCATTATCCAGATTATAGCACTATAAGAAAAAAGAGAATTTGCCTATGTCATGTGTTAATAATGGTCTATAAGCAGTAAATTTATCTCATGTTTGAACATTTACATTTTGTTAATTCAATTCAACCTTTTACAAATAAAAACATCGTAACCAATGGTTAAAATAACTATGGCTGAAGCCAGTATATATGTTTATACTTATGCTGGACTTACACTATTTTTCTTCCAGAGTTTGATCTTTCACAACATTTAATAATAAATGCTGTGCTTTTCGGTCCGTGCAATATACATTTACATGATATACCGGTATATACTAAAGCCTACAATTTTACTATTTTTCTTCAAGAGAAAAGTCAGACAATGGTATTACTCAATGGTAGTGAAATTTATCATTCCTGCAGGAGGTGCCAAAATAAACTGAGATGAAAAAGAAGTTTGAAAAGCTGCACTCATTTGATAAAGGAAGTGAACTGTATTGATTGATTGATTTAAACTGTTTAATCATAGTTTAACTGTTTAATTCAGAGGACCGTATCAAGTGAAATGCATACATCCGTGTATGAAAATATTAAGATATTAAAATAACCGACTTGCACGTATTTTGTCCCCAGGTCTCATTTTAGGCAAGGAATATGATAATGCAGTGCAACATACGTCCATAGTAAGCGTTACTGCAAATTTAATACTCATGATATAAGAAATATATATAAGATTGAGAATGGAAATGGGGAATATGTCAAAGAGACAACAACCCGACCAAAGAGCAGACAACAGCTGAAGGCCACCAATGGGTCTTCAATGCAGCGAGAAAATCCCGCACCTGGAGGTGGTCCTCAGCTGGCCCCTAAATAAAATTGTGTGCTAGTTCAGTGAAAATGGACGTCATACTAAACTCCAAAACATATAAATGAACTAAAATTAAAAAAACATACTGACTAACAAAGGCCAGACGCTCCTGACTTGGGACAGGCGCAAAATGCGGCGGGATTAAACATGTTTTGTGAGATCTCAACCCTCCCCCTATACCTCTAGCCAATGTAGAATAAAGAAACATATACATAAAATAAGGAGATGTGGTATGGTTGCCAACAAGACAACTATCCACAAGAGGATAGCTTTGGTTGAACGAAATAATGGAAACATGTATTTGGGAATATTAGAAGATACAAAGCTGACATTTACAAAGACAATTGTTGGAAAAGTTAAGAAGAGTTTAAAGATGAAAAATTCCAGCTATATCATTAAAAGATCAGATGTCCAAACGATTGATACCAAATACATTATAACGAAGACAGACTTGTGTGAAAAAAAACCCCAGAAATTTCCAACAGATGACCATTGACAAAACATTAAACAAAATGTTCAGGATTATATAAGACAACACAAATGACTTTCAAATTGATGTATTTTTTAAAATGTTTGTATGCCATCACATGATAAATCGAAACAATAAGGAAATTGATTTTTGGCCATATAGCATTACGTTTGTTTTACATGCTTTCTGAACTGTTCCTCTAGAATATTTGTGATAAGATAAATTGGACATAATCATAATTGCAATCATTTTGGAATATTTAATAGTATTAAAAATGACAGCGGAAAAAAGGTATAATTCATGATCATGAACAAAACATTCTTTATCAGTTTGACTGTCATGACTGTAATAAATAACACCGTTGGAATTTTCTTTTAAATTTTTTTAAGTTTAATCATGTCGAGTACTTTTATAAATCACTATACCATCCTGTTTTTTTTATTTTAATCATGGTTGAAACATTGATGGAGTAATTATTTTCTGTTTCCTAAATGTACTTATTTAATTATTTTGTGAATATATTTAATACTATCAAAATTCACAATTATTAAAACATCCTATGTTGCAAAAAAGATAAACATTTCAAAGGATTTTCCAAATAAAGTTTATTTCATTTATATCACAATAATCATAAAGCAATTTCAATGTAGAATAAATTTATTCTGTGTCTCAACCTTAACATAATTACTGTACTTTCATAATAAATTTATTTTATATATTATTATATAAAACAAAAATCACATTGAATGTAGAATAAATTTATTCTATGTCTCAGCCTCACCATACAAATAACTTTACTTTCAAAACAAATTTATTCTATATATTATTATAATCATAAATTTTAAATCACTTAGAGTGTAGAATAAATTTATTCTGTGTCTCAGCCTCACCATATAGATTACTGGACTTTCAAAATGAATTTATTTTATATATTATTATAATCATAAATCACATTGAATGTAGAATAAATTTATTCTATGTTTTTCTCGAACTTATAATAGATGTTAAGGCTCTATAAAATAAATTTATTTCATATATTATTATAATCATAAATCACATTGAATGTAGAATAAATTTATTCTGTATTTTAGCCTCACCATACAGATAACTTTACTTTCAAAATAAATTTATGTTATATAGTCATGCATCACATTACAAGTAGAATAAACTTATTCTGTTTTTCTCGAACTAATAATAGATATAAGGGCTCTATAAAATAAATTTATTTTATAAATTATCATATACAGAAAGCACCATGCATTCATAATAAATTTATTCTATGTTGCATCCTTTACAGAGAGTTGACTGAAAATGTACAGCTAAGTGTAGAATTCAGTATAAATTTATTTTGAAATGTAACAAATAAATACTAATATAACAGAATTGTCTTCGTTTTTCATCTTTTTTACTCAAATACATGGTTTATAGAATAAATTTATTACATTCTGGTCCAAATTTAGCCTCTAATTGCACTTGTCAGAAATTGAAGGGAAAAAAGAGGAAAATTGGTTTTTTCCTTTTTTATTCTGCTCCCAGTTTTACATACAGCATTTAATGTAATAAATAATATCAGAAATATTTTACTGTGGCCGTGGTTTATTGGAGATTTAAACGTATTGCAGTCTTGTTAATCCTCAGCGATAAGGAGGACATAAATAATTGCAAAAAATATATAACCTGAATGAAAATCTTATTATAAATAATGAATAAATTTTGGAATTGTGTTCGAAGCGGACCTATACGGCATATGTTCGAAAGATTACCGTTTGATATAATAAACATTCAAATAACAACAGTGAATGCTAAATTAGTTATTCATGAGGCAGGGAATGATTCAAGGTGAAAAAAAACCAGTAAGGTTTCGAAATTGGAATGTTATATAAATATTTAAAAAAGTGCATGACAAAAGGGCGATAATTTTGCACAGTACAACAGTCTATATATAGAATAAGTATCATTAAACCAAAGAATTTTTCGAACTTTTTTCATTAACTGAATGATATGAAATCATAAATTATCTGAGTTATTTATCCAAAAGATGCATCACAATTCATGTAATGGACCCTGTCTGGCGTTTAGATATTTTTGTTTTACACAATTCCGTATTTCGCTGGCTTATGTGTAAACTAGCTTCTACTTTTATTTTATGATATAGTTCCTAATACAATATCCCCCAACTTGTGTATTTTATAGAATATACATTAGATTTGTGCGTGTGTTATTGTAAGCTTATATATATAAATATTTTAAAATATTTACTGTCTGTTTTCGTTGGGGTTCGTGTTTCTCGGTAAATGTTTAGTTTTCCGTGTAGCGTTCTGCGAATTGCTGTTTGTCTTTTCGTCCTTTTTCTTTTTTGCAAAGATGTCTGTTTTTCTTGTACTTAATATGTTCTGTATTGCTTCCTTTTTTATATGCTCTTCGTTTTATTATATACCGAAGTTTTATGTCTTGAGTAATGAACAAGAGATAATATACATATATCTAACTATTCTTATTATATAGATATAAGAAGATGTGGTATGAGTGCCAATGAGACAACTCTCCATCCAAGTCACAATTTATAAAAGTAAACCATTAAAGGTCAAAGTACGGTCTTCAACACGGAGCCTTGGCTCACTCCGAACAGCAAGCTATAAACTAGGGCCCCAAAAATTACTAGTGTAAAACCATTAAAACGGGGAAACCAACGGTCTAATCTATATAAAAAACGAGAAACGAGAAACACTTATGAACCACATCAACAAACGACAACTACTGAACATCAGAATCCTGACTTAGAACAGGTGCAAACAATTGCAGCGGGTTTAAACGTTTTAATCCGTATTACCAACTATGACAGCATATTGACAAAAGTAACGTGAACAGTGCGATTCATTTCAGTT